TCAGAAACTGCTTGAGATTGGTGTATTTTTATTATTTTCAGTAAAGCGACTTAATTTTGCTTTATCTTTACAAGACCTGAAGTTCTCGGAACTTGGAAATTGGAAAGAATGTTGAGGGAAAAGGATTTGCTTTATTATGATGTATGAACATTTATTTATATTTTTATTTTGCTATTTTAAGAATAAATGTCTAAAATATTTCTGTGATTTACTGTAGTTATTACATATTTTCTATTATAGAAAAGTGTTACTTCTTAGGAATAGCCAAGTTAGTATTGAAAAGAGTAGAGTAATAGTCCTTTCCAATCAGAATTCTATGACAATAAGAAATTGTTCTGGTAAAAGATAGCTCCAGTCAATTGATTCAACCAAATTTGTAGGGTATGGCTGGCTCCCCAGTGAAGAGGAGAGATCACAAGGAAGATATTCTTCTGAGTTACCATCTGTTAACAGTCTCTGGTAATTTAATGAATCATTTTTGTCAAAGCTTCAATTTAGCATATTTTTACTTAATAGTTACACCAGACTTTAGAGTTTTCATCTTTTCTTACAGTGATGATACCTAACTCCTCCTGCTGATGTGGATAGTCTCTTATATTTAGTTTTTGAAGGAACAGGTTTTTTCCACTGAAATGTTGAGTGTTACTGTAGCCATGGAAAGTGACATAGATACTTAAGTTCTATAAGCCAATTTCATGTGAAAATGCATGGCTGTAGTTGTGTAACTGCACAGCCATGATTTAAATTGGAATAATTCTCAGGAACTTTTTTTGTTTGAGTACGTAATGCATGTTCTAAGCTTTGCCTCTCCTTACCTGTTTTCCCTTAAGTTTGATCCCTTTTATTTTCCAGTAAGTAGCACTGAGATTTTTTTACTAATTACAGATTGTTCAACTTGTTTTAATCTAGTCTTTGATAGGATTCATAAACCAAAGATCCATATAGATACAGAACAACTGAGATGGCCTTGGACGTTTGTAGCTTAAATGCAGAATGTTAGCACAGAATTGAACAACTTAGGAAATATGTTTTTAAAACAGTGATTTTGGTAATTCATCTAAGACCTATTGCAGTGACATTGACCCTTAGCTGAACTGTCTGGTTTCATGACCAAGCCATGTTTAGCATAAGGCATATTGTTTCATAGTCTTAGGAATTATTTTATAGAAATAGAATTCTTTAAAATAGTGTTTTAATGAGACTTTCCAAATCTAAACAATCACGACAAAGTCCTTTTGTTCATTTGAAAACTTAAAAGGAGAAGCAGAATCTGCTAAGGAAGAGGGACAGATTCATACAGCAGTCTAATTTCCTGCTTTTTTGCTTTTTGGTTAGAGGCTTGCTGCTGTTTTGAAAATAAGCCCATAGATGTGGGATGTATCCATGAAAGATTATTCAAGAGTTATTCAAGAAACTTGGGAAACCTTCGTATGCATCTTGCAAACGAGTGGAAGAACCTACCCTAAAAAGATTGGTTTAAGTCTTTCTTATTCAAGAATGTCTCCGTCTTGCATAATTCAGAAGGTCATTTTAAGGTTGGAGAATGCTACTGTTTCTGTATCTTCTCTTTGGCTCGAGCAAGAGTAGATTCGTGACAGAAAAAAATGTGTAATAATAAAAAAAAATCAGAGTTCATGAAGGCCATTTAGAAGCACTGATATTGGAATCTCCAATGGCAGTTACTGTATAAAAAAAACAAACCAAACAAAAGTCAGAGAATAAGAGTTGTTGCAGTAACACAATGGGAAATGTTGGATAAAATACTTTTTTTTAAAAAAGTCTTGAAGCAACAGATATTATAAGAACAGAACCTACATTACTCATCTGCTCTTACAGTCCACTTAAAGTTAACCTCTGATGTGTAAGCAGACTGTTGCTCTGGAGTGCAGTGCTGCTGTGGGAGCCCAGTGGAGAAAGGATGGAGTGAGGTGGTGCTTGGGCTCTTTTCCCAGGTAGCAAGTGACAGGATGAGAGAAAAAAGCCTCAAGTTGCACCAGGGAGGTTTAGATTGGGGATTCAGAGAAATTTCTTCATGGAAAGGGTGGTCAGGCATTGGAACAGAATGCCCAGGAAAGTGGTAGGATCACCATTCCCTGAAGTGTAAAAAATGTTAATGTGGCACTTGGGGACATGGTCTAGCAGTGGACTTGGCACTGTTAGCAGCTGGACTCATGGTCATAAAGATCTTTTCCAACCTTACAGATTCTGTGAAGGTGGGAGCAATGCAGGGAGCCAAGGAAACAGCTCCAGCTATTTGGACATTATTTTCTTCATAGCTCTTGTGTATTTTAGACCTGACCTTTTGTTTCTTGACTTTCAGTCTCCACGTGGCTCTACATAACTGGAAGAGCGTGGACTTTCTGGTCTGGGGACCATACACTGGAAACAACTTCAATGACTGAAGAGAATTGCTTACTTAGTGCTTACAGTGTAACCTTTTTCAAAGGCATAGCTTCCATATAGCCTCAATCCTCTTTCCAATATACATGGTAAACATGGTGAAATGTGAATATCTAATATGCAAAACGTGCTCATGACTTTTAACTTGCACTTAAATGTATGTTTGCCTCTTTGTAGTATTTGGAGAAAAAAAGATAACACACAAGTATTTGCCTAAGGGTTTTTTTTAATCTCAAAAAAAATATTTCTAGTGAACCAAAGTTTGCTTGGTAGTGCTGTTATCTTCCTGGTCTATGGAATTACATACTTGTGCTCCCTAAGAGTTCTCCTAATTTAACCGAATTTAACCAAACTTGACTATGAAGGTTTAGGTTTTTGGTGAAAGGGTTGACAGATGAAAATTAACATTTCTTATGTAACATGAGCACTTAGAAAGAACACCATTTTGATGATGAGCTCTTAGACTGTCTTTTATAATCAGACCCTATGTATATAAAAAATTTTGTTTCCTTAAATACTAGACTTTTTTCCCTTCAGTTGAGTTGCAGAATGCTTTAAAATTAAAAAAAAAAGTTTATCTCTTTTTTATCTATTTTTAGAGGTGTTTGTGAAATTGTTTTTAAGTGTTTCTTCTTGAATATATCTCCACTTCTGAATAGATATTCTGTACAATATTAATTAGTGAGCTTTCAAGTATGATATTGAATACAGAAAAAATAGACATAGCTTTATCTACTTGATTTTGCAGGTTATGGATGATTGTATCTCTGAGTTTTGAGACTATATTCCTATATCCAGGGCAGTACATCACACTGCTAACTCACTGTCTGTCTTGTGTATGGATCTGTGAGTGATATGCTGCACCGTTTTCTTTTTCAGACCTCCATGGTGTGGGAGGACTCACCTTGTTACAGTTGATATTAGCTTAGTCATGGCATTGCTATAGGCATTTGTGTTTCAAAATGAAGGGGTTTTTTTAATAAAAAGTTTCTCAGCTCTGATATAGCTTTGAGGAAGCAATAAGTTCTGCCATTAGAGGAGTCAATAGCAGTTAACTGGTGGGCATGCTTGTCTCTCACTTACTCAAAATTGGTTAAAAATGTGGAGGAGTTCAAAACTGAGTCATAATTTGGCATTGCAGGAGAAGCTTCCTCCTCCACCCTAATTCACTCCTAATTCCTGTTCTACTAAAAACACTAAAACAATAGAAGCCTGCAGCAAAGGTAAAATAGTGAGTCTTTATTCAGAAGCTTACTGAGTAAAACATAATTGAGTGGAAACTCTTGAGCTATGTGTCAATTCAGTTTGAGCATATTAGTTTTGTGCATCAGAAGACTGTGCTGACTCCACTAAGGAGTTACTTCAGTAGTAGGGAGCGTTTCTAAATAATACTGGTGTAAGGAGCTTCATTCCTGCCCATGCCTATAATGCTGTGCTGCTTCTGCAGCTGTGCCATAGAAGTGCTTGTATTGAGATGCTGTGAAGGATATTTTTTAATGAATGTATCCATACTTAAGAGGCACTTCTCCCCTTCTTTCCAGTAGTGAAAATCTAGAACAGTTCATAGTGAGTGCCATAAAAACTAGAACTGGCAAAACTGAAGAAGCCAGTGCTTGCCTCAAGTGCAGGATCTGAGAGGAGCAGGCCGAGTGAGAACATCCTGAGTTGGTACTGTTGACATTTGGGTGTTGTGAAAACTATCTCCTCAGGCTGTAGTATGGCTCTATTAATACAAATAAGATTGTAGCAAAAAAACATAGTAAGTGCTTCAGATTTAATACTTTTAAGTTTGAGAACATGTGAAATTTGTCTTGAAACTGAGAACTGGAAAAACAAGGTGTGGAAAGGAAAATAAAAATGGATGTTGACTAAAATTATGAAGGCAAAAGAAAAATAATTTTTGTCACAACTGTTGAGGTTTTAACTATCCTTTGAATAAGAAAGAAGTTTGTATAAGTGCAGGTGTAACTAAACACAGCAAACTGGCCTGTTGACTAGTTACATCTGGTCTGCTTTTTACAGTGACTTGATTTAGCCTTTCCAATTTTAAGTGTTAGATCATTGAAATTGAAAGCTTTTCTAGCATAATAATGAAGTAATGTAGTGCTCAATAAGGATTACCGCCATTCACAAGGAAATCAGCCTAAGTGAATGCAGAGTTAACAATGCATAAAAATTCATTGTTTTATAATATGTCTAGATTATTTTTGCATTAAGATGAAATTAGAATGTTCTCATAATAGGATAAAGTTTGTGTTTCTGATTAATTGACATGGACTTTGGGAATAAAAAGAAGCACTGACAAAATGTCAAAAAATGGTTATGTTTAGGATTACAAAGAGAAACTGATGTTGGATGCTTTTGAGTCCTTGTTTTTCTACAACTTCATTAAAATAGTTCGGAGAAGGGAAGTATAATTAGCTCATTTCTATGTGGAAAGGGTGGGGATTTTTGTTTTTTCTGGTTTTGAGGCTTTATGCCTAAGACTAACATTGATAATTGCACTTCCACACTATATCTGAACGTTTTGTGTGTTGCTGTTGCTCTGGCTGAACTTGAAATGATCAAGGTGGATTCTGGTTCCACGCTCTTCTGGTTTATACAAACTACTGCTCTGCTATAGAGGACCATGAATTATTCGTATAAATTATGATTGTCCCATATTTTTGCTCTAGGTTTTCAGTCAAGACTCTGATTGACCGTTCCTGTTTTGAAACTATTGATGATACTTCCCCTGAATTTAATAATTTTGCAGCCATTCTGGAGCAGATTCTAAGTCATCGACTGAAAGGTATGTTAATTGACTTCCTTACGGGTCATGATTTTGCCATGAGAATTTGTTTATACAAAACCAATGTGCATCTGTACAAATTCCTTGGTGCTGAATGAAAGCATTTGCTTTCTCTGTGTGTCTGTCCTATTGCTGTTACCTTCCTGATTTTCTGCATTACTAGGGAGAAGTGAAAGCAACTGTTTCTGTGAAACATGCTTCCAATGATCTTGTTGGAAGCCTTCTGGGCTGGTAATTAAACAAGTGAATGTTGCCATGGTGCTCAGCTCTGTCTGCTTTTCTGCTTTATGATAAGACTGTGTCCTAAGAGTCTAAAAGACAATTATGTTATCTGCTTCAATAGGAGCTACAGAGCATATCTGGTGCTGCTCCCATTTCTTTCTTCCTTCCTTGCTTTTGTTGCCTTCTTTTCCAGATACTGTTTTTGGGTCCTTTCATTCTATTGCCCCACCCCTTTAGTGAAGCTTTTTTTTTCCAGCTGGAATGTCCTGGATTAGATTGCTTTTGTGAAAGTTCGGTTGTTGATTTTCTTCTTGTATCAACTCAGATGTTCTAATTCCAGATAATGTCTGTTTGCATTTTTCAATTGTTCTAGAGGAAGCTGCTTTGCTCAGAGAACAGAGTGTGCTTTAGCAGTAGCAGTCACTAGAAGAGGACGTTGGAAACGTCTTCTCATTTTTCAGTTCTGTGTACAGTTTCTGAAATGATTTGAGGATCATGAAGAACATCATAATCATCTAAATATAGATGTGTAATATGACAATCTACTCATTTTCATACTTTTTAATATTCATAACCAAGCTTTGTGAACAATACTGTGTGTAGGCTGACATTTGAATAGCACAATTACTACCTGCTGTGGTTCTGTCAGAGGAGGAAAAAAATGGTGCACAGTATGGTAGAAACATTGTGTTTGTCACACTGTGACAAAGATTTTTGGAGTGATTATGGGTACTTAGCAGCTTGACTTTGCAGGGAAATTGCTCTCTTTTCTCCTCCTCCAGCTTCAGCAATATTTGTGCAAAAGTCATTGTAAATTTTATTTTTTTTCATCAACATTCTTTTGCTTCACAGTCTTTTATTCAGGACAGGCAGTACAGAGAAGAAGCCTTGACAGGTTGGCAAATGGAATTTGCAAGTAAAAAATCATTTCAAGTAAGAAATGGAGAAATTCAAATAGCTAAATTTTTGTTTCAGTCTTCTCCTTGTAATTGGTAGTATGGTTTTCTAAGTTTGCAGAGTTAAAATTACAGAAAAAGGTGGGAAATTGCAGATTGTGTTGCAAACAGAGAATGTTTTGGTAATAAGCTAGTTGGCTGCATGTAGTTTTTAAAGACTTTTAAATAATAAAATAGAAATCGAGATAAGATATATACCGTGATACTTCAAATTTTAAGAGTGTGCGTATTCTACAACTCGGGGCTTGAACGAAGTTGTGTTTTATTGCTAAAATTGACTAATATATTCTGAATGCATACTTTGTGTCAGTAGGAATGGACTAAAAGCAATTGTGATTGCAGTTGGTTGTATTAAGTGTTTTGAAACTTGCAGAACATATTTGATCTGGTTGTCTACGGTAAGATAAATAGTTTCATTGTATCAGACTTGTCAGGATAATCTCCTGGCAGTGTAGTTAAACACATGATCCAGATTTGAGAGTTTAAGTATATAGAATTTTACTTTCTTAAGGCCATAGCAAACAACAGTTCTTAATCTTTAGCTTACTTTGGAAGTACTGGGTAAGGAAGGAAGAATTAAAAAAAAACCAAACAACTTACTTTATAAAGTATGAAGTTTACTTTTATTAGAAAACGTTTACTGGTAACTCTTTCTGACATTAATGTTTTTTTGAGGCCTGAAGAATAGTCTTGATGGAATATATTGACTGTTTCTGTTGATTGGTTTCATGCTTAATTAGGATCCAGACAAAAAAAAAAACAAACCCAAAATGTCAGGAAGAAGGGTGATTATTTTAAAGAGAAGAGTTCAGCTACAGGGATTAGAATTTTACACTTTTTCTAAAACCATTGCAATTAAAAATTCCGTAGTAGTTATCCAAGCATTATCTTCCTAGGTGTTCTGGAAAAAATGGTCTTTGTAGAAACACAAGCACCATGTAAAAGGGATTTTTGATAGAGGCACTTGATCTGATGCTCCTGGTAGCAAAAGGGTCATGAAATAGCATTTTTTATTTAAACACCATGAGTAGTTTTGTAGATTTGTTTTTCTACATTCACTCTCATTGAAGAATTAAGTTTTGGAAAGTTTTTAGAATGTCACCCAGTCGTACCTCTTGCTCAAAGTAGGGTTGTCACAGATTACTCATTAATTGTCCAGTTGTAATGTAAATCTCCATGACATTTCTTAAACTCAGTGCAGTTTGCTACAGATTTATATTCTCTCCCTACTTCCCAATCTGGACTTTGTCCTTACCTTTTCTGGCTGTGGTCTTCACAGGGTCCTGTAGTGAGCCAGGCCAAGCAGTCAAACGGCAGAATACTGATGACTTTCCCCATGCATGCACTTTTTTAGCCCAGCTGCTCATATTCTTAAGAATATTTTACATATGGGTATTTGCTTAGTAGTAAAATGAGATTGGCAGAAACAAACCAGCTCACACAACAGAGGTCTGTAAATGCTGCTTGAATATATGTATCTGTTCATTTGATACAGAAGACTTGGCACATATGGCACCAAAATAGCTCCAAAAAAGGTAACATAATATGCTATGGCACTACCTTACAGCTACCAGTACTGCCAGTAACTATCAGTCAGGAATAGGTGGCTGTTGACAGTAAAAGCAATCTGAATTGTCCTAAGGATGACAGAGTTTGAGCAAGCTGTATTAACTGTTTTTTAAGGGACTGCCTTAAGCTCTAGAAAGTGAAGACCTATTTCCCTGTACTGTGTAACACTACATGTGCAATATCCCTTCCTACAAGTGCTGGATGTATTGAGAAAGTGGAGTAAACCAAAGATTGTAGTGAGGAGAATATAATGCATGTGTCTTCCTTGTCATTGAAGTAAGCTGTGCAGAATCCTTGCTGGCAAGATATGATGCTACTGGACAGGGCAGTTGAAAATCTTGAAAAGGGAGGAGAGGAGAAGTAACAGAAAAAAAGATGAGTGACTAATTACTCTTTTATTTCTTATTAGGAATAAGCTTTTGTGTGGTTTTACAGTACAAGAGAGATTAAGTGTTACTCTACTCTGGGGGGATATAGGGACAATGTCTTTGAAGGTCCAAATAAGATCTATAGTCCTGAAAGGGATTTTACAAATTTGTGTACAAATGTATGTGTGTTTGATAATCTTTAAAGCAAGTGAAATCATTTCAGGAGCCATTTTTTTCTCATATAGTTGTTTGCAATTTTTTCTATTCTTGCCCGTTTTGTACTGGGGGATGAAGCAGCATCTTCAAGTAGTAGTCATCTTCATGAAGTAGTCATCTGTGTGGTTTCATTTCTGGCCACAGATTTTTCAGAAATATTTCTTGTGTCTTTTTTATCACATCAGCTAAATATATATATGGGTAGTGCAGAAATGGTAGGATGCCAAAAGTGTTCAGCAGCAGTACTTGGGATTTGATCTCAGATATATCCAAGCTGATTTAAAACCTGAAGTAATTTCAAAGTGATGTGCATTTTGTCTTTACTATATAACTATATATTACTTTCTGCCTTTTCCTATCGTTTTAAGTTAGTGATAAGTGAGTTAATACTGAAAAACATGAATATCTATTGTAGATTTCTATGGCCATAATCTCAAACATATCTCTGAAATCTGGTCTTCTGGATGTATTTGCTGACTTACTATGTTTTCAGTGTACTATCCTTTGTGCAGCAAAAATGCTTGCTATCCAAACTGCTAGCCAGTATGTGTGTTTAAAATAGTGTCAGTGTGTCAATGTTTCTAGTGCATCTTGGTTGTGGCTTTTGTAATTTTTGTATATCCTGGTTACTGTGAGCACACTTGTCATCTGTACACTTAACTTGCGTTTTCCACCATGAGGACACGAAAAAATATGCTGTACCATTGTATTTTGATACTTTCACAGCTTTGTGTGCCTATTTCCCTGTAGGTGTAGGAGGCACTATAAACATGCCAAAAGCTTCTGCTAGGGTTGTCCATGGAAGCTACTTTTATCTATCCAGTCTATTCAATTCCTAAATTTTAGGAGTTCTTTGAGTAAGTAAAATGCAGCTTGTAATGCTCTTTGTTTCTGAGTGCTGGATTAAATAATTAAGGTAATGGTGATATAAAGGGAGTGAAAAAGGTAGGTTAATGATATAAGAAATAAAGGCACTACTATAATGAAAAAGATAAAATAAACATACAGCTGTTGTAGCCCTTTATTTGGTGCAAAAATGTTGTTAGCAGAATAGCTTTTATTACTAGATTTAGCATCTAGACATGCATAGTGATCTGTTGTTCTTTTTGACTAAGAAGAAACAAGAGAGGTCTTATGTAATTTGTGGTTTAGTTCATTCTTGTATGAAGAAAATTTGTAAACTAATTTATAATTGTCTTGGAAGGCTGACTTTATGAACTACTCAAGTATTTAATGACCCATTCTGTAGGCTCAAAATAAGGGTAGGTATCTCAGAAATTCCTCAAAAGATCACGCTGGTTTATTAGCAAGAAGTTGTACTAAAACTTACTTTGTATTGAATAGAAAAAAATTGCTGCAAACTAAATAATATAGGGAAATCTGGAGAAAACCTGTCTGTACCTTGGAGCATCCTAGTCATTGCTTCTTTGCAATTGTGGAACTTTGTAAATTAAATTGGACTGTGGTTGAATAGGCTTCAAACTGTTTAATTGTGTTTGTGAAGAATTTCTTGGGCATGAAAAGGATCTATGATAACTATGGATGTTTGTATCTAGTTGTCAGAACAGAAATGGATTGATACAAGTAGGTGTGCAGAAGTATGCAAAAAGGTGGTGAAAGAAAAAAAAATCACAATATTGTTTCTATTTGCTTTGCAGTTCTGTAGACAGGAATGGAATTTATTTGAACAATGTTTAATATTACACATGCAGCTTCCATGCTTACCTAACAATTTTGTTTGGCTGACAAAACCAGCATCATTTCTGTTGGAATAGCTGTCAGCTTCTACATCTTCAGATGACATATGAACTTCACAACAGATGTTCTTTGTCCTGTGCACCTTCTGAGAAACTTCCTCTTTCCTTAAGAAGTAGTTTGACAGAATGTAAGTTCTATACTAAAACTAGCTCTCAATTTTGTAAAGATCTTTAAAAATTTAGATATGATTTTGAAATCATAGAACAGGCCAGTCCTTGAAGAATCATCTAGCCCAATCATTTGAGGATGGGAGTTTAGATGAGAGTATCTGGCACATGTCTAATCACATCTTGAAAACCTCCAGCAATGGAAACTCTACCACATCACTGGGGATGTGGTCACAGTGAATTTTGGTTCTTATTGTAAAAAAATTTCTTTCTTCGGATGAAACCTCTCCCAGTGCAACTTGTATGTGTTGCCTCTTGTGTGGCTCCTTGTAATTAGGGAGCCTTCACCCTCTTTAAGTACTGGAAAACTGTGATGAGTTCCCCCACTGAACCTTCTCTTCCCTAGAGAGAAAAAACCTAATGCCTTCAGTCTTTCCTCATGGGACAGGTTAAACAGCCCTTTGAACATCTTTGTGACCTTCCTTTGGACCCTCTCAATCAGATCCTGTCCTTGAATTGTAGAGACCAGAACTGGACACAGTACTACAGGCAAAGCCTAGCAAATGCTGAGCAATGGGAGCTGTTTCATTTCTCATTCTTGAGACTTCTCTTGGCTGTGTTCATTGAGTGTTTTGAGGGCCAAATAAAATGTCACTTGCTGAAAACTTTTAAAATTTTAGTAAATCTATAGTTTAATATCTTATTCAGTATTTCTTATAAAATACATTCTCGCTAATCTCAGTCTTTTCCAGCATTTTTCTGTGTATGGATAGGTTGAGAAAGTTTTTCTTCAAATTACATTAATTATGAGAGTGTGGGCAAGGTTTAAAGTTGTAGGGACAGAATAGTGAAATGTAGGAGACCTTGATTCACAAAAGGTGCTGAGCTGGCTGTGAGTTTCAAGTGAAGAAAATTCCTGCTGAAGTCTGGAACCCGTTGCACCCTCTCACAGAGCTGGAATGAGGTGGGAGCCCACTGTAATGTCACAGTGGGGTGAATTCTGGCCAACTGGCTTTCTTGATCAGTGTAACCAAGTAAATGCTGTGTGCTGGTATAGATTTCTGTTGTAAAGTTATTTCTTGTTTTAAATTACTGTGTCTTTTTCAGGTGTTCAATTGTAAAAGGAATTGCCTTAGATTAGCAGCTTCAGAAAACTGGAATGAAACTGTTTTTTGATAAATATATTCTGCCCTTAAGATAGTTTGAAAAAAGCCACAAAAGTTAATATATCATATGCTTGCCTTTATTAGTTGGACCTGGAATTGTTGATATGAAGTCATCTTTCCACCCTAGGTGCATTTAATTTTGTATGTCCAATTCCTAGGGCAGAAATGTTTTTAGTTTGGTGAAAAATATGAAAAATATCTGTAACTTTTTGTGTTGTTGAAATGCTGTTGAATTTTTGTTGCTGTCCACTAAGCTTGGGATTTCAATAAAAATAATAAGTTTTTAAAAACATTTACATTGTGGAATTTCTTTTATTTTAGTCCTTAGAGCTGAGCAGATCTAAAATGACAGTAAATGCAGCACTTTGGAATTCTGTTTTTTCTTTGGCATATTGGAGATTATATATTAGTTCTTCCTACTTGTCCGCTTTTGTATTTTTAAAGTCTTTTATCATGCTTTGAATTTAATAAATGTATCTGTGGTGAAGGAAGCAGATGGACCACAAAGTCAAGTGACATGCACCCTCTAGGGGAAGAAGAACCTGCCACTTGAATTTCTTCAGCTCCTAGGGGACAGATCTTTGACACTACTTTGGCTATGCTTGAAGCAAAGTCTAGTCATGTCAGATAAAAATGCATATTTTGGATTTTATTTTCAGTATGTATGATTTGCAGTATCACTCTAATATATTCTTTCTTGAAATCTGAGCTTTCTACAGAAAAAGAGAAGTCTTTATCATACTTTAGTAAAGCTTCTTAAGTGCAATTCAAGACTTCAAATAACATAAAACTAGCTTAAAAAGAAGATATAATTTTCTATGGAGACAGGGTTTTGCACATGGCAATGCTGGCAGTAACCAGAGGGCAATATTAACCATACTTGTTCCATACCTGTTTGCAGGTGTGTCCAAAGTGAGAACAGTGTGCTGTTCACTCTGAAAAATGGGGTTGAACTGTTGGGCTGCTGCTGAAATTTATGTGGACATGTTGCATGTGCTATGTAGTTTTGCCATGCATTTTCTAAGTGCAATACATTGCAACTGTAAAAAATATGAAGGATTTTGACTGTAGTTCCAGAAGGGGTAATGATCTGCTCGATTATTTTTGCTCAACTTCTGAGGCAATGCTCTGTGTATACTCAAAAGAAATTGTGACTGCAAAACTTTTTTGCTTATGCATCAGCTTCTCTTCAAATGAAAGTACAATTTGAAAAATTCCAGTCTGCTCCTAAAATAAAGATAACACTACCACAGCAATGTGGTACTTTAAATTTTTATTTATGTATTTTTTTTTTAAGAGCAAAACTCTCTCTACTTGACTATATTAGTGAAATGTATATACTACCTATAAAAATAGCATAAATACTTCTTGCCTCATATTTTTAAGTGTTGTGATTGAAGAGTTCTGTGAAGGACTCTTGAGTATTATTTTAGCGTAATAACAAGGAAAAAACCCAAGAAAATACACAAAAATACACAAAGCCCTAAACTTCTCTTTGTGCATCACTTTCAAACGAGGGTGAGCTGCATAATGCAACTTTTTTTACATCTGTGAATCAGTTTTCAGTAGGAATTCATGGACTTGTTTGTATGAAATCCTTTCAGTAAAGCAGCATATTGGGGAGTGTTTAATTACATTTATCTCCAATAAGCAGAGAGGGAGGTTCATAAATCTTTGTGTCTTGTATTTTGATTTAAGGTCAGATCACCTGGTTTGGCTATGAAAGCCCTCGTAGTTTCTGGGACTACATTCGTGTAGCTTGCCGAAAAGTCTCTCACAATTGCATCTGCAGTATTGAGAACATGGAGAATGTCGGTTCTTCTAGAGCTAAGGTAGGGAAGAGAAAGGCTAAAGTGGCTTTTTTATTATTTCTGTACCTGCAAAAAACCCATAGTATTTAGCTTACTCTTCATATTTTTACATTGTTCTAATTTTTTTTATGTGCCTAGTAAATATTTGTTTTTAAAAAGTCTCACTTTTAAATCAGAATATGTTTCCTTTAGGATTTCTTACTCAGTGGAAAAAAATCTCTCTTCAATGATTGTGTTATATTATGAAATTATTGTCCTCAGACTTTTTACCTTACATAATTTTTTGAAAACACCGTATTTTAAGGGAAATTTAAGTTTTGTGGACATGCTTAAGAAATATTAAAATTTTAGAAAATGGGTGATTTTTCTCTTTCCCCTTCTAATCATTTTATTTCTTGTACAATTTATGCATTGATAGAATAGGTGTGATTAACTCTTAAGATTTATTTTAAAGGTCCTGAATTCTGAGATAATTTTAATAGATATGAATATTTCAATTCAGTAGATAAGATGCAAGGCTATTTTCTGAAATATTCTTGTAAATAAATAAAAGAATTCTATTACTCTATGGAATACTTAATGCCAAATAGTAGACAGAGAACCTAATTTGTCCAGTGAGTGTGGAGACTGGTGTTCAGTTTTTTGGGGGAATATTTTGAATGTCTGGATATGAAAAGAGAGAGAGCATGCTGACACAAATATCCATCATGTGCATCAGTTTGACTGGTGGTCCAAATAAGTGTCCTCCTCAGCCTGGAAGCTGTCAGCAAGGAGCTGCCAGTGCTAGTTGGCTCTGCTTTCACTGGAGGTGCATAGGCTTTAGTCCTTAGCTAAGCAGCATCATCAGTCTCATGGTTTCAGTCATGTTCTAAATAAATGCAACATAAAGACAGCTGTCCGGGTAAATGTCCTTTTAATTTCACTGCACTCCATGTTAAATTTTTTGTTATGCTGTTGGTATTTATGAAACCAATTTTATTTAGCATTTCGTAGAATTTTGGTATGATTTGGGTTGGAATGGATCTTGAAGACCATCTGGTTGCAGTCCCCCTGCTGTGGGCAGAGACATCTTCCTACTCTTAGCTTGAAGCTACTCTCCCTTGTCCTGTCACTGTAAAAAGTCTCTCTCCATCTTTCCTGTAGGCTCCCCAAAAGGCCACAGTTAGGTCACCCTGAAGTAGGATTATAATCTACTACTGGTTCTGGTAGACTATCTGTAGTGATAATCAGCTGGATACCAATAAGCACCAAACATATTAAGCATAAGCACATCTTATTACTTATATAAGTATTTGAAGTTTATATGATTTACAAGAAATGTTTCTGGTGTTGTCAAAAGTGCAGTTGTAACTGTGGCAGCTGTTGAAATGTCTCCCTCTTGTAAGCAACAATCCTGTGCACTAGACCTGCAAACACAGCACCATGTGCTTTCCTAAGAGGTATTTTTAAAAGTTATTGCTGTTGTTTATGGAATTGTTCGAGTGAAGTTATGCTTTTGGACTCTACAAGATTTAGACCTCTTGGATTTGATTTCATGTCTGTATTTTATGTGCACCTTCTATAATAATGTTGTTACTGTGGGGAAAAAAATATTCGCAACTCATTTTTTAATGTAAATTCCCCAAATATTTGAATGAACACAGAGAATCACCTGGAAGACAAGTTACTGCTACTTTACTGTGCAAACAACTAGATGCTTCCAATGCCATTGATTTTAAAATGTGAAGTTTTCTGCCCTAATCTGCTGCCTCTCACATACATGAGCTTTTCAAAAGGCTGGAGCATATAATTAAAGAAAAATCCCTCTACCCTCTCCTTAAAATTTTGGATAACTTTATTTCACAATAAACTTTGTGTCCTTGTAAGAATGCATTTTTTATTTTCATTATTGCTATAATGAAGTATATCCTAGCAACTGTTTCTGTTTAATGCTAGTTTTGTTAATCATTCATTTACTCAGGTAAACCAGTGGTATAAGTTTTCAGATTGTAAAACTGTTTCTTTCTGTAATTCTTAAATATTTGATACCTGTTTTGTCTTGCAGGGTCGAGCATGGATAAGAGTAGCACTTATGGAAAAGCATTTGTCTGAATACATTTCCACAGCCCTAAGAGACTTCAAAACAACCAGGTCTACAAGAATTTTATTTTTGCAATATTTTAGTAAATGTTGTTTAAGTGAGGGACTTGTGTTTGGAAGTGAATGGTGAACTTGATTTATATAGTAAAAGATGTCATTCATTAATGAAAGATCTGTAACCTAGTGAAAGATTATCTAGAGTTGGTATGGATTTGGTTTTAGCATGGGTAGAACTGCAAAATTGAGACTTTTTCTTGATTTAAAAATGTGGAAATAAGCCTGGAATTCTTGAAAAGTCAGAAGCAAAGAAAACCTCTCTAAAGTAGGAGCTAAATCTGAAACTGTGGTGTAGTAAGGATAGATGTAGTATTCCTTTCAAAATTGATAGAAATCCTAAGGGCTCAATAAAAAATAATTTTCATTGTAACTTTTTCTGAAGAAAAAAGGAAGAGAATTTCAGGAACCTCTTGAGAACTGTAGAGTAGCAGAATTAGTGATCAGACATAGATAGAATTCTTGATATAATAAGAAAAATGTGTAACAGATTTTTGTTTTAACTTCTAATGATAAAAACAGGGATGAGAATATGTTTTGTGATAAAGAATACTCTGGCAGTTTTGGTCTGGTTTTAGATAATGTGATTATTAGATGATATTTTATCTCATAACAAGTATGTCTTACAGAGTTTTGATGAAGTCGCCTGAATACAAGTGGATCTGTAAAATGTACTTTATGTTGAACTCTAAAAGTTCAGATATAATGAATGAGCTATTAAAACAATAAGAATTTTCTCTATAAGGACTTCTGTTCATTTAGAGTATTATTTTTTAAATACTATTTGTCCAGAGATCTCCATATATTTTACCAGTATTAAGCTGACTTTGAAACACAACTAGGTAAATATCCCATTTCGTTGCAGTTTCAAAACCTGTTGTCTTATTTTACCCGGATTGGTTTGCATTTGTAGTAGACAAGAAGTACATAAAACAAAGAAAATCTGCTCATGCTGCTTCAATCTGAAAAGTCACATGGGTTTTTGAGGACGAGATGAGGAAGAGTAGGGTCACAAATTATGTAGTTAAGTAATACGTTCTTTTTCCCTGTTTTGGTAGTGCAGTTTGTTAGTGGATTAAATGGTCTTGTTTGATTAGCAGTTTCAAATTCATTTATTTGAACATGTTAATGTTTAATGTATTTGAATGTTCTTTCAGTGGTATAGCTTTTGGAAACAACTTCTCTTGCATTCCAAACATAGTAAGTGCAAAGTTTCTTTTGAAGTAATATTTTAAAATACATCTAATGGAAATAAAAATTACATTTTCAGGTTTTGGTTGTATGGATTTCAGAGCCACTAGCAACAATGGACATATTTTCTTTTCCCATGTGGGATTTCAGATACCTAATAACTGATCTGATTTTTTGGATGATGTGTTGCATCGTTTATTTAGCATTTTAAATCTTTTATTTTACTGTATGCATATTTAATAATTATTTGTATAAACTATAAATTTCTTGTGTTACAAATGTGTATGTAGAATATGAGATTATCTATCATGCTGATAGCTCTCTTTAAACCTCACTTGTGTTTAGGTGCCTGGAGTTAGTACTTGAATGAAGCAGCACATTCTTAGTGCTGGATGTGCATGTTGCACTTGGAAGAGGGGCTGGATTAAGCATGGGCACAGAATTATTTTTCTAACAAATTAGTCAGACTCTTAAATTATAGCAGACTGTTGTGTTGTGAGATGTCAAGTGTGTAGCAGTGAATGAAGATTTGTGGGTTTTCCAAGGGGACTGTTGGTTTGGCTGGATTGCAGTTGTCTTTAACACTGTCACTGCCAGGCTAACTTCTGCACCTCACCGTTGAAGGTGTGCCCTGTCCTTTTTTGTGTGATTTCTTCTTAGGCACTATTTTACAAGAGCTCAGTGCAGATTAGTACCTGGCAGTGATTTTACAAATGCCAGTGAAATGGCTGGTAGTCTGCATGTACTGGGGGCACTGCTGTTTGTTCACAAACAAGATTCACTGTGCTGAATCAGACTATGGAGTTCCTCTGGCTCAGCCAGCTTAGCCTCCAAGTGCCCTTCCAGAAGTCAGAGAGTATAGAGCTCAGTTTGTACTTCTAGCCTCACTATCAGAACTATGATATGTGTCTTCTGAGAGGAAGTCTTACAGTTTTGTTCCTTCTACTGAGAATATCCGAGATCTTGGACAACTCATCTCCTTATAGTAAATGGATGTCTATTACAAAGCAGCAAAAGAGGGACTTCTCACAGCAAGCAGTATAACACAATTCAATTTCTGAAGCTATGCCTCAAAATATGTCTTTTCTGGATGTTCACCATGCAGCCAGCTGGAGCTCTCTCTGAACCATCCAGAAGCTTTCATGCAGTTCTTAAAACAGATGGAGTTTTGGTAGGGCAGTATTGCTGGTATTTGTCTGAAATATAGATTGTGTTCAGTAATCTGACACCTTCTTGAACTCATCCAATGCTAAAATCTAAAGGTGAACTGTGCATGTCAGTTCTTAGTAAGTGACATTTCAACCTTGCCTTTGGTACTGTACACCTCTTGGTTTCACTCTTGCCACATGTAATTCTTAGGTGAATTCTGGTGACCTTCCAGCATGCAATATTTTAAGAAAAGGTAAACTACCTGAAAATAGCTGATTTTTGAAATTTTTTTTTAAAAAGATCAGCTACTAAGAATGAAAATTGAAAGTTGAACTTTAAAAGAACCTGCAAGTACAATTGTAATAGAGAACTTCTTATGTGATAGAATCGTTATTTCTTTATGTACATAACAAAAATTCTTCCTTTTAGAGGTATAGTGTACTTTCATATTTTTTTAAAAATTTTTTCCATTCTCCACTCTGTTCTACTAGTTTGTAGGACTGATAATGAAAATTCTTTTTGCTTGTGTCTAAATTCTTCTGTGCTTTAAGACTGTGGTGTTTTGTGCTATGCAGTCTATTAGTTTGCTTTATTTGAAATGAAATATGAATACCTCTGGGGTTTATGATTGTTTTTATTTAAACTGGATTTCTTCAGTTTTCTGTTAAATATGAAAAAAGCTGAATTAATTTCTTTTTTTATTGAAGGAGATTTTATGAAGATGGAGCAATTGTTCTTGGTGAAGAAGCAAATATGCTTGCTGGTATGCTGTTGGGACTCAATGCAATTGATTTCAGGTACTATATTTGTGTGCTTCATAACAAAATGCTCAGGAAAAGTACTTATAAATTAATGCATTATGGAAAACATTCTTAAATTCCCATGGTAGTTTGAGAGACAAAACTTAGGTTGAAGCAAAGAAGAGGGCAAGAGAGAGATCTTGTATAGCTCTTCTAGATAAGAACCAAGTTATATAACTGCATGATTATGGAGTAGTTTTCTCAGGTATCAAAATCCTAAAAGGAATCAGAAATATAATTGCAGAAGAATTTCAAAGCTATTAAATGAAGCTTATAGTTGTAACATCTATTAAAGATATTTTTAAAGTGTAAGAAAAACTGTATGATTAAGTACTTGGTTGTGTCCTGGTACTTAAAGACAGCATTGTAACAGTGTATGTTGTTGAAGGTAATCTATCACTTCTAAATTTGAAGAACGTTAACCTACAAATGACCATTTAATGTCAATTTGTGTTAAAATTGCCTGCAGCTGAACTGCTTACATTAATTGACCTTTGCAATTTCTAGCCAGGTTTTTGTAGGCTTTCCTATGTGATTAATTCTTCTAATTAATTAATGATTAATGTTTTTGAGGTAACAAAGGTGCAAGCACACCTTAGATAATAAACCAACACAGTGTGTCTGTATGTGTATATGTATTAAAAAATACCATCAGCAATATGTAAAGATTACAGTGCCTGTAAAAAGATAGAACCTGGCTGGTGCAAGACCTTGTTAATATGCTTGGTTGGACCAATTTAGCCTCAGGCAGAGCCACTGGCAGGGAGTTTCATAATTCAGCACAAGGAAAAGGAGACTGATAATGCTGTTCTTCATTCTTCTCTCTGTTCACTCTTAGTATTTACCTTGCAGCAGCATTAATGCTTGTCACAAACCAATATAGGAGGTAAACTGCCAGAAAACAGAATAGTAGCCTCACTGGATGCATTGAGTGATTGACCATTGCCAAAAGGCCCTTCAGAGATTTACTGCTGTTTAAGTACCTCTGTGCCAGGCTTGTTGGACCCTTCTGTGAGCCAGATTAAATTGTTGAAGAATGAAAAAACATCCCCAGAAGAGGACTGGATAGTTCTTTTGTTGTTAGCTAGTTTGGTTCACAGAAGCATCCTATTAGTGGCAGAGATTGTGGGAGAAGAATGCTTAGAGAGGAAAAGGAACAAATAAGGAATGAGCCATGTTTTCCCTTTCTGATGGTAAAGAGCATTTAGTTCAGCTGGCTATGGAACTGCAACTGGATGGGGAAAGGATAAAAGAAGAAAACAACCTAAAAATGCAGGTCTTGATGGCTGCTGAACCATTGTGGAGTCAGATAAGTGCCAATACCACTCTAAGGAGGGGAATGTCATGTTAGCATTTAAAAAAAAGGAAAAAATGGCAAGGGAGAGGCTGAAAACACAGGATAGCTTCTTTTTCCAGCATTGTGTCATTAGATTGGCTTAACTACATCCTCAGCATATGTTCTGGAAGAACAGAAGTGTGCTGCAGGATGATAAGAGTGATAGCCTTGTGTACAGCAAAATTCAAATCTTACCAGATTTTATTAGTTTAAGCTTTACATAATCTGAAATTAAACTGCTTTTGTATTAGCCCTGTACTTGGGCAGACTACAGCTACACATGAATAAGCATTGCAAGATTAGGTCTGCAGTATATAAATCCTCTCATAAATAGTCATCAGTTGACTGTGTCTCTCAAAAGCCTCAGTGTTACTAGGGTATGAGAGCTTAGTTGTATGTCTGTACTTGTTCTTTCTTTGTCCTCTGATTTCTAATATAAAGGAATCTGTTAATGCTATTCAGATTACTGATTGGCTCTTGAAGACCTTTACATTTTGTCAATCCAGCTTTTAAGAGTCTAAGAATTTTCTGTGCAAAATGGGAGCTTAGTACAACAGGAACGTTTTTATTGTGCCATGTATCACAGAATGTTTCAGGCTGGGAGGGATCACAGAGGGTTGTCTGATCCAACCTCCCTGCTCAGGCAGGGTTATCCTAGAGCACATGGCACAGGATTGTGTCCAGATGGTTCTTGAATATCTCCAGCAAGGGACTCCACAACCTCTCTGGACAATCTGTTCCAGTGCTTTGTCACCTGCACATTAAAGTTCTTCCTCATATTCAGGTGGAATTTTCTATGCATCAGTTTCTGCCCTTTGCCTCTTGTCCTAGTGGTTGGCACCACTGAGCAGAGCCTTCATAGTATTGTGATTTGAATGGCTGAGATGCCATAGCCATTCTTTGCATGTTATATATGAGATTTTTTTTTCATTTCAGTATCTCTTATAAATGTTGACTAGGTTATCTATGTGGAATGGTAAATTCGAGTTTAGTCTGGAGATGAGATAGCTTGTGTGAGAACATAATCTGATTTTTTTTTTCTCCCCTCACAGTAATATGGAATTTGGTAATTGTGATCTTGGAGGGGTGCTTTTTTTGCTTCGTTTTTCTTTTTCTTTGAGAGGGAAAAGCTAACAGCCCTTTAGATATACTTCCCAAATAGCATTAAGTTACTGCATTGTCAAAAATGGCACTTTGCAATTCAGTTAGCAAAAGCTGTGAATTACTAGAATCTGTTTATCAATAACAGAGGTAGGAGGAATGAGGAATATGAGCCTTATGGAAGCATGATAATTTTGTCACTTCTGTGAGAATTAAACATGGTTGAAATGCAATAATTTATTTCCAGGAAAAAAACAATACAATGTAAATTAAAGCTTTATAAAGTTACAGCCATTTAAGAACATTTTCCAAAATTAGGTTCATTTATGTTCCTTAGCTTCCTGCACCTCAGCACCTATAAGTGTCTGAAAGGAGAAAGACCTTGAAATATTTTTGAGAAAATTACTTTTTGCTTAGTAGAATGGTTATATAAATACTCTGCATACCCTTTAAATGATGTGAAATGTGGAAAATTCCAAGCTTGTCCATAATTCTTCTGTTTCTGCAGCTTCAGTTAGCTTTCCTGTTATTCTCTTGCCATCTCTCTGTATTATTAAGAATACAAGTGAATGTTTAAAAATTAGAGTTTACAGCACCAAAAATTTACAAAGAATGAAGTTTCAGGTTGGTAATATTCAACTGTCATTTAATTTTCTTTTAATAAACTTATTGTTGTTGCTCTGTCTTATCAGTTTTTGTCTGAAGGGTGAGGGATTGGATGGAAGCTATCCAGCTGTCATAGATTATACACCATACTTGAAGTTCACCCAAAGGTACTTCTTAGCTTTACTCTGCTTTTAAAAATTTTATTTCCTTGGCAAAATTTTATGTATTATTGGGCCTCTTATTTTTCATTTCATATACAAAATGTTATTTATCTCTAAGTACAAACCTGTACACTCAGCTACCTCGCTCTTCCAGACTGTTGGAATTGTTACATGACTCATGAAATGTGAGTCACACTAATTTTGTTTCCTTGATTCAGAATAACAGTTCAGTGGGAAACCAATGCTGCATCTCCTTTGATGATTACCAGACTAAGTTGTCCTTTCTCTTAGGCCTTTTCTTCGCTGTGTAGCCATAAAAATGCAAAGTAGTTATTTTGTAAATAAAAATTATATATACCCTAATAAATGTAAGATATGACATAGGCAGTATAAGCCATTAGCACATAACAGCAAGTCGTGACCAGTGACTATGTAAACTGACATTTTAGCTGTATTTTGCTCCTCTGATCAACCTTCTGATGAATAATAAAAAGAATTCTCACTATCTAATAAATCAAGAAGCAATTTGACATCACCAAAAAGCACGGAAATTAATTATATGTTTTCTATTGTCAGGTTTACCAAAATGAGAGAAGCAGTTAGGAATAGTCTTGAAGATGTACAACTGAACATGAAATATCCTAGTTACTTTCTTGAAGTTTTTACTAGCTTATGTGTTAGTGACAAGTTGTGATTCAGTTTATATCATGGCAGGATGATGGGGTTATGGAAATCACTACTGAAAAAAAAACTGGCAAATTCTGTTAGAGCAGGAGGAAATGTAGTTTTAAGGGAAGGTTTTCAAACAGGTACTGGGATAAATCAGAATCACAGAATTGTCAGGGTTAGAAGGCACCTTTGGAAATCATCCAGTCTAAGCCCCTGCCAAGACAGGGTCACCTGGAGCAGGAATGTTTCCAGTTGTGTTTTGAATGTCCCCAGAGAGGGACACTCCACAACCTCCCTGGGTGGCCTGTGCCAGTGCTCTGCCACCCTCAGTGTAAAGAAGTTCTACTTCATGTTGAGGTGGAGCTTCTTGTGTTTTAGTTTATGGCCATTGCTCTTCCTCCTATCACCGGGTACCACTGAAAAGAGCTTGGCAGCATCCTCTTGACATTTGCCTTTGAGATATTTATTTGCATTGATGATATCCCCTCTCTCTTCTCTGGACTCAAATAAATTCTTGTCTTTGAGACAGATGTCTACATTCTCTAGCATACATTGATGCTGGAAGATATGAAGATACTTTAACAATGAGTCTACTTACTAGGTAGGGAAATGCATTCTGTGAAGTTGCAGGCACAGGATCTTTGTATAAACCTGGATATACATTCTGATTTAAGTTTAATATAATGACAACCAGTTTTTTGGGTGTCAGCTTTTTTTTTTTTTTTAAGAAACAAAATCTACTCTTTGTGAAGGAAAGGTTAAGTCATCATTTCCTTAGATAGCATATTGTAATGTATTTAACCTTTGTGTTTAGGAAAGTAGCCCACATACAGTTATCTAACTTGATGAAGATGCCAAGTAAATTTATGCCCATTTTCTAGGTGGCTATAGAAAAAAAAGCTTGAAATACAAGTTGTGTTTAGTAATCCATCATATCTCAACATTTCAATTTTTTTTTTGTTTGCAGAGCTTTTTAAGAAATGCCATGTTTCAATTTCGACCAGAATTTGCATTTTTATAAGCACAGCTTTTAACTTGGCTAATAAATATGATTCTTCAGTTCTGACAGTATCAGCAGTGATGAAGAAGAGCTAAGAACACTGGGCAGTAGTGGCAGTGAAGGCAGTACTCCAGAGAACATTGGTCCTCCTGTCATCACAGATGAAAACAGTTGGTACAACAAATGCAAAAGGGTAGAACAGAAGTACCGGCTGGCATTGGAACAGAAGGTAAAAGATTAGTTTTGTGGGGGGGCTATGGAACCAAAGCTCATCACCAGCCAAATGGTAACATATCCATCAAAGTAAAGTCAGGAAAATATGTTATTAGAGATCATTTAGCTTCATGTAAGTGCTCCTAAATTTTATGATCCTCAGAGTATCCAAGCATCTTTGCTCACTGATTTGAGGGAAAAGAGGCTTGATGAGTTGGGGAAGAGAATAGCGATAATTCAGAGGTCAGATTTCACAATCTAATGTAGAAGCTTTGGCTTCTTTATCTATTCTTGGAGTTACAGACACTGTATCTCTAGTGCTGTAAGGTTGTGAGCTTGAAGTTCACATGAATTTTCTTTTCCTTAGAAGTCACAGATTTTTATTGTTGTATGTAGCCTGACACCTGAAGGCTTTTATGGTGATAGTGATGTTAAACTTTAACACTTAGTCTTAAACTAAACAAGAAGGATCAGCAAAGTAATCCATTTAGATGAAAGGCAAAACTGTCTTCTCAGTGATACTGAGATGGATTTTTAGAAAATAGGTAGTTTTACAACTTGATTGAAGCAGAATGGGAAAGGAAGACACGAAAGGATGTGTTTGTTGGATTTTAATTTAGGTGGCATATTGAATGTAACTATAGAAACCAAAGGTAGGTTTTCCATCTACCACCCAACATACCTTAAGTTAAAGGTGAAGTGAAATATATGTGCAAACCTTTCAGTGATTTAACATTTTCAAAGCAAAGTAGTTGTCAGTTTTTCATAACAGCATATTACATCTGCAGTAATTACAATGCATATTAGCTAGTAGATAGAGAAGAAGGCAGACTGTTCATAGTGCACAGAGAAAGAAAGGCCAAGTCAGGAAAAATTACAGGAAAAAAAAACCTGAAATACACCTGGTTAAATTTTTTAAAATAACTTCTATTAGTATTTTTAGTATTCTATTTCCCTAGTGTAAGAATTCGATTTTTGTGGAACTCTGATTAGAACAAACCATATGAAGGGCTGGAACCACACAAGAGTGCTTGGAGGTGTAATTATTTCCCTGAATATGGAATAGGTAGAATCAAAATTGGTTTATTTTGATGCACTTGAAAGAAGATAGCTAAAGTTTTCTAAGTAATAGTGAAGGAGTCAGATTTACTATGGGATAATAGATATTTAATATTTATTTATATTAATTTTTTTAAAATTATGCATACAATTATTACTTTTGTATTTTGGGTCTCTTAGACTTCTTGTTTTTGAAATATGACCTGAACTGTTGCATCCAGGTTGTTGGTCCAATCTTCTCAGCTAATATGGTATCACTTTCCATATGGAAAGAGCTTGTGTTCCTGGGGCCCTCTCTGGTACAGAGGGCATTTTCCCTGCTCTTATAAAGAAAAATATGCTGTTCAAAAGGAATCTCTTCAAATACATAAATGAAAACTTTTCTCTTGAACCACCAGAAGAAAGTCCCATCCTTGCCAGACAAAACCATCAGTTTGAACGCACACTTTTCCTCACCATGAGGAGAGTGTTGTCAGTTCTGGAGAAGCAATGAAAAGATCAAAATAAGTGGATGTTTATTTTTCTTGGTACATCCAAGTGGTTCATTTCCAAGAATACTGTGTCAAAGGTGTGACATAAATGTGTAGAAAAAGTACTGAAACATGTGGCCTACATCCACAGTCAGATTCACTAGGAACCTTTATGTCTGCATAAGCACAAAGGCTGTAAAGAGCTGTAACAGCAAATGGTGATTTTGGTTTATTCATGAGTCCAAGATCCAGAACCATTTTCGTTCCGTGGAAGTTATTTCTGGTAATATTCTCTTGATGATTTTCTTGATGATTTTTTTTTTTTAAATTTATACCAATTTTCAAAATGGTAGCTACTCTGACAGCTGTTGACACTTTCCTAGTTGTTGTCCTTTGGAATGCCTACTTGCAGCAGCAAAATAACTTTTTTTTTCCCTACAGTCAGAAAATTTTCTGTTGTCTAATTTTCATTTGGTATGTGCCTGCCAAGTTTTTATATGATTGACTTCAACTATACCTTGTCAGGTCTATTACAACTTGAACAAATGACCATTAAGATAGAGCTCCTTTCCCAAGTGTTTCTCTCCCTTCCCTTTCTTCACAGCAATAAGTTGCACCAACAACTGAGTTGCACTCACTGCAGTAGGTATCTGTCTTGGTTTGAAAGACAGGTGTCTGCTAAGAAAGGCAGGAGCCTCTCTTGAAATGGAAAATGTGAACCCCCTCCCTCCAAATTCTTATAATTTTGAAATTAAGGGGCTCTCAGGAAAAGTTATGGGAATAGGAATAACAGTTCTTTACTAGGAAAATTAAAATAGAAATACAGTATTGTAAAGAACAAACCCCAAACCACTGACAGAGTCAGAACACAGCCTGACACCCCGTCAGCCATGTTGGTAGCAGTCCCATTAAATGGTGGCTGCAGTCCTCCTGGAGTGAAGATGTGGTTCAGTTGAAGCAGTGCTCCTGTAGAAGGGTGCAGTTCTCCTCCAAAGGTCCAGTAATGATGTAGAAGGGTCTGGTTTTCCTCTGGAATCAGTGGGAAAACACTGTTCTGGGGTTCCAAATCTCAGATTTTATCTAGGTAGGAAATGCTTGGCTCCTCCCCCTGAATGGAGCGTATCACAATGGGATGATGTAATTTTATCAGTCATGCAGTGGGACTCAATGGCCCATTAACAGAGGATATCCCCCCTGAAGATAAAGGTCACTGCCCCACCTGGTTTCAACAGATGGTGATAGAATACGAACTTTTGGTTACATCCTGCTTGCAAGCCAAGACAGTACCAGTTAATCAGAGACAGTTTATTTGAGCAAAGGATGTCTGTGTGTTGGAAAACTGGGTGTTTGTGACGAGAAGACCAAGTTGAAAATAATGACTTAAGTAACTGATACAGTAGGTGTCTGATGGATCCTTCTTTTGCTCTATTGTCATTAATTTTGCCCAAACAGTGATAAATTCCTTTTGTGCCTCCCAAGTAAGTATGTGTGCTGCAGTCATTCATAGCAGGTCACAATATGACAAGCAATTGGATTGCAGCTGGGATAAAGGTCTCTGAGCCATTTGAGTGGTAGGATAGGGTCAGGTGTTACTTTAGCAAGTGAAATCCTGGCATTGCTTTATTGGATCAGCTACACTCTGCTGGTTTAGACCAAGACTCCTTCATTATCCTACTAGCCTATCTTGGGTACTTGACCAAAGCAGATGTGGAGGGAAGAATAAATACAAAGCACATGATTATGCACCACTTTTCTTCTCATGCACTCGTGGCCAATGTGCATCTGCTGAGGGCCTGCCTCTAGCTAAAAGGTTTGTCTGTGTAGTAACCTGTGATAGATGTCTCCTCCAAATACTTGTCAAATATCCCCTCGATTCCATTTAAAATTTCACCATCCAAACAATTTTTTTTTTTTTTGGCAAAGCATTCTGTGAATCTACCATCTGTTGTGTGAAAAACTACCTCCTATTGTGTCTTTTGAATATGGCTCCTATGAGCTTTATTTCATGGTGCCTAGCTCTTGTTTTTTAAAAAGTCAAGAACTGTCTCTTCCTTTCTGGGAACTGTTTCTTCCTTTCTCCTCTGCCCAGGCCACTCTGGGAATTTGAAAACTTTGTCTTTTCCAAGTTGACTCTTGTCCAGATGAGTGAGTCATACTTTACACATTTGTTATTTATATGGAAGTCATCCATTCCTTGTTCTGGAATGGTTTAAGCTGTTCACTTTTGAATAGTAAACTACTGAATTATTTGTGTACTGTTTTTACTGGAATTTTATATGCTTTTATTGGTGGGATGTGCATCTCTGTGTCATTATAGGTAGAGGTATTTACTGTACGTAGGATTATGTTTCTGATACTGGTGCTTCAGGTCTAAAATGTTCTTGTAAAATGGTTTGATTTTTTTGTTGTTGTTTTGTTTTGGGTTTTTTTTATGTTTTTGAGAGGCAGGAAATTTGTTATGTTGTAATGCATCATTTAGTACTTTCAAAGTGCTATTTAGAACTCCAAGGAATGTCTTAGGAGTCAAGATAACAGTAATATTTGATGAGGCAGAACTAGGCATACTGAAAAGCTCTCAAGATTACTTGGAATTTGTACTGAGACTAAAAAGTCCCTGTCAATATAAATATATCCAATGAAGAGAACTTTATATATAAACTTTATGTTTTTAAGTATAGGATCACAGAATAGTTATATTCAGATGACATCCTGGAGATTGTCTTGTCCAACTCCCCTGCTCAGAAAAAGGTAGACTAGAGCAGGTTTCTCAAGGCCTTTTTCAGTCAGGCTGTGAATATATAGGGGGATACACATTCCCCAGCCTGTCTGGACAACCCATCCCAGTGTTCATTTAATGGGGGAAAAAGGACAGAAAAGTTTTTTTCTTATATTTAAATAATTTCCTATATGCTTATATTTCAGGTTGTGCCCATTGCCTCTTTTCACTGGCTGTCACTGAGAAGAGTCTGATTCCATCATGCATACACCCTCCCATTAAACACTGATGCACATTGATGTGATTCTTTGTCCTTACCCTCCTCTCTTCAGCCCTGACCTGAGCAATCCCAGCTCCTTCTGTTTCCTCTCATAACAGAGATGCTTTAAACCCTTCACAGTCTTTGTGGTGATGAATTGCACTAATAGCATTTTTTTACCAGCTCATGTGAACCTGTTTTCTTAACAGGAGTCGAGAACAGACATCCCCATTCTGTGTCTCTGAAAACTGCCTTGTTTTTAATACCTTTTTTAAAAAGTGGACACATATAAAACAGCTGCACATTTTTCCGCCAGTTTCAAGGAATGAACACAATTTTATGTAGTGTAGACTTACTGTATCTTGTTTTAATTGACAATTTCTAAGAAGTTGCTAACATCTGATATGCTGGAACCTTTGTCATTTTAATGTGTGATTCAAAAGTTCAAAAAAATTTTAAAATAATATTGGATATTTTATTCATAGGAATTTTGGATCCCTTTCATGAACTATAAAGATTCATGTAGATATATTCTACCCTTACTCTTGTGTATTATCTAACATCCTGCACCTGTTCAGTTGTAGGATTCTGATCTTTTTCTTGTACTTGTGACAGTTGCTTTTGAAAGAGGAATTAGTGTTTCATGCTGGTGGCTTTCCTGTCTCGTTTTTTCATCCATTTTTCTATTCCTCTGCAAGAATATAAATTCTTTTCCTGTTACCTATTAGGAAATCTCAAACTAATCTAAAGTCAGTTTGGTAGTCTGTATAAAAAGAAATAATTAAAAAACCCTATAAGAAACCCAAAGTAAAAAAATGTGAACATGCATAATTGCAAGTGGTTTTGATAATGTATTCTTTAAAGTTTTCTAATAACTTACATTTTCAGGGTTATCTTGAAGAATTGGTACGACTCAGAGAAAACCAGCTGTCTGAATCAGTCTCACAGAATAAACTGCTCTTACAAAGAATTGAAGATATGGATCTAGCCCACAAAATGGAGAAGGAGCAGCTGGAATATATCATTGTGGAACTGCAAGACCAGTTGTAAGTTAGCATAATGGAGAAGCATTACTAGAGCAGTATTACTTAAATAATTTAAGTTATATAACTACACAATATGTAGAGTTTCTGATCCTGTGGAAATGAGTCAACTTCTTAAAGAAACTGATGTATTTTAGTTTTTTTTTTATTTTTTATGACAAGTCTGAGATTTGGCAATTGATCCCTGGAAACCATAGTAGTGTAAAACAGAATAATTCTGAGATTAAATATTTAATTTTTTTTTTAGATTTGAAACAGCTTACAGTAAACTTGCTTAAATTTTTTTACACATTTTTATAAAATGTTCTTTATATTTTATTACTCTCAGTTTTAAGCTACCCCTAAAAGTATTGAAAAGAGCTATCTTTTGAAGATGATTTTTTAAAAGTTAGGCAAGAGAGGGTAAAAAAATATTTATTTTCTTTGGCCAGATTTTAATTTATTTGTGATGGCCCAGACACAGTAGAAGTTATCTGGTAATCCTAAAATTATTAAAACTGACAAAACAGTTCACTATCACCCTTTTTTCAATGCAAGTCAAAATGAAAAACAGTAGAAAGCTTATTTTTTATTAATAGCATGTATGATTTCTAGTATGATAAATATTTGAGTATCTTATGGTCATTATTCAGTTTATCCTCTCAGCCCTGTCTGGATGGGGAGGTCCTCTCCTTTTGCAGAGACATTCCCACGTTGGATGGGTCTCTGAGAAGCCTGGTGTAGTGGAAGGTGTCCCTGCCCATGGCAGGGTGTTGGAATGAGATGATCTTTAAATTCTTTCCCAACCCAAGCCATTCTGTAATTCTGTGTTTCAAAACCCAGGTAGATGGAAGATTCACTGTCTGGTGATAGGTTGTCATGAAACTGCCATGGGGTCCACCTGCAGCAGTTGAATGTTTTATTCAAAACAAATATAAAACAAGTTATTTTGCCTTAAATCTGAATTAATTTGTAAATGTATGAGCCCTGGAGTAACATGGCAGGCATCTGAGATCTTTGAAACAATCCATGATAAAGAGAATATATGAAGACACCATCCAAAAAGGTCTTTAAAGGTCTTTTCTACAAAGTACTTCAAGCTTGTAAGCAAAGCTTCTTTTTTTTTTTTTTGCTCTGCTGCTCTGTCTCTCATGATAGATCATTTTATTGCCAGTGCTTGAAATGGATTTTATGAAAATGTTCAGGAATATGGATTTGGCATTTTATTTAGGTCAATTGCAGAGTTGAGTAAGAGGAAAAGATGGTTTTCCAGGTTTCTTTTTTTTCCCTCTGATTGACTGTAGAGAGATTTGAGAGATACCTGCTCTTGAGTTCTTCTCTGAACTTACTGATCTGCCTAATGATTCATATTATACTGCTTTGGCATCCCTGGTTATTTGAGGGAGGTGGAGGAAGGTGTGAACTCATTTAAACCTTCTCTAATACTGGAAATTTTGAATGTTCATACCTGCTGTTAAATTTTAGCTGAAATTCATGCAGTCAGACTGTTCTGAAGATCTGTCTTTCAGGTTTGATTTTGTTTGATGGCTTTATTATGTAAAGGCTCAAATTGTGGAATAACTTCTGTTGTATCTTGACAGTGTTCTTGTATATCTGTTTGTGAGACACTGCAGTCAGTGATATTTGGATATTTGGAGCAGTATAATTTTACATTTTTCTTGCTATGAGTGTAGTGTGCCTGTCAGGTGAGGGAGGGGGAGAAATATTCCTAGCAGGTTTCTAATGGTCAACATCAGACATAATTAACTTATTTTAGTCATATTTGATATTTGTGTTGGGTTTTTTATTCCAGCCAAAGGTGACCTGGCTGCCAAATGTGTTGTATCAGTGATGTGTCTGTAATGAGGCATGAATTTTGGCAAATTGCTTCTTATGGCCCAGCCATTTTAGAATTATGTTAAAATAATACCAAAACTTAGTGCTTTGATCCCCTACTGTTACTAGCACTTTGAGGCACTGAATGTATGCTGTAATCTGAGTCCTTCATCAGCAGATAGGAGCAAGTTTGGGACTGTAATTCTGCCCAAGGCATACTGCACTGCTGTTTGTAAAACACTTTGAGATCTGGTTTAGGATTGTGTGCTGTGTAATTGAATCTTTTACAAATAAACATTCTATACTTTGTTTTTAATGATGGTCTTCTGTTCTACTGGCTGCAGTTCTTAAGGTAGCAAGGTCTATGACTTCAAGCTTCTGTTGAGTAAGGTTTTGTTGAGGTTTCCTAAATGGTATTTCACAGGCATGCAATGCAAAATGTTTTATGTATCTTTCTTTTATGTGAACTTGACAGAACCTGAGGCTATATCTATTTCTGCCTTCCCCATCAAAAAATAAATGTAAGGTAAGGAATAGAGATCTGACTTTGTTGACAGTTTAGGCTGTTGCTGTTGCTGATTTGGAAACCAGTTAACCCAGGATCAACAGATCAACAAGGTCTTCAGGTTAAAAATTAGATATCTTACAGAGAAACTTTTCTGTATGCACATTTACTAAGGGAGTTTGCTGCAAAGTATGAAATAAATATGAGGATAGAAGGTCAGAAAAATTGGGAAGGAATTTTTATTTTGCAGCAGCTATGCTTCATGTTCAAGAATTTTCAATATTCTTAACTTTGTCTCACACACTTGAATATTCAAGCTACAATGAACAGCATATTTTCCAATTTTGTTAAAAGCCATTTTACAGATCACATGAATACCAATATCTGGAAAATGGTGAAGCTGAAAATTTATCAATTCGCAAGAGAATAACTTTTTTTTGGTGTTTCTCAGCTTAATTGAATTTCTTACCAATATGCCCACCCATCTGGGGGTTAGACTTCTTACTTTGTTGGCAGGTGTCTGATGGCACATCAAGTTGCAAAAGTGAATCTGCAATAGATAACCTGGTTATCAGTTCAGCACATTTAAGCTAGTGCACAGCTCATCAGGAAGAAGGTTCAGACTGGACGTTGGGAAACATCTCTTTACCCAAAGGGAGGTCAAACACTGGAACAGGCTTCCTGGAGGGGTGGCCACAGCCCCCAGTCCATCAGTGTTCAGGAGACACTTCAGTTGTGTGAACTGCAATAATGATGAGCCACTCAGGGCCTTCATGTGTTTCCTCAGATGTCATCACTGTAATGTGTTTTTTCCTAGGACTTGTTGTAGTTGAACACTACAGAGCAGTGCTTTTGGCTCCACTCTTTGCTAAGAATAGTGTCTTTTTCCAGTGAGGGTGGGGCACTTCTAAAGGCCTAAAGTATGTAAAATTAACAGTTCTCAAGTGCTAGAAAATAACAGCTCACAGGAGGACAGCCAGAGGAAGCCTGTTGTCCATGGCACGTCTAGATGAAGAAAATACTTTGAATTCTGTGACATTCAAATTACGGAATTATAATTTGATGGGAGAGGGATCCCAAATCATCAAGGAATTGCATCCTGGAATATTCAAAATGTACAGAGACAGACATTCCTTCCTCCTCTATGTTTCTGCAAAGAGATGTTGAATGTCTTTTGAAGCACGGAGACATTTGATCGCATACCCCACCAGTAAAAAAATTAATTAAAAAAATACCCCCACAGAGTAGGTATAATTATTTATCATTTATATAAATATACTATAGTGCTAATATATTATTTGCATTCTTAAACATACAAAAACAGAAATTGAAGAAAGTAAGATGAAGAGGAAATAAATGTTATATTTTAAAAAAATTATTAACAGTACAGAAAGGGTTTTTTTTCCAGTACCCCGAAGGATTATCTTCTGCATCTCAGTTTGAGATCATTGCCTTGAAGGAATAGTTAGCTCAGTCAAAGATGCGATGGGGCAAAATCTGGAACCATTGGCCCACAATATCCTTGCATTAAAACTCTTTAGCTCAGCTTAAACAGGCTTTTTTTTTTCCCTTGGGGTGATTCTTAGCCTTTCTTTTGACTAACACAGTACCTGTGTTACAACAAACTCTGCTTTTGTTTCTTTAAAGTTCAGATTCTGCATCTGAAATTGATATTTATATATGTTAAATATTGATATATGGTTACGAGAGAGATTTCATCAATTTCCTGATTGGCTCGTTTCCTGCATATTGACTCACAGATGTTATTAAAATTGATCTCACTGATGTTTTAAAAGTTGATCACTTTAACATAGAACATCTTTTTAAACAAAATGGCAGGAAAAAGGAAAGCATTGTATGTAAAACTGAAAAACTCTCAAAATGCTTTAAAAGGTTTTTCTTCTGCTTTGATTTTTGCTGAAATGAAAACAGCGATTTCTGTAATGTTTACCACCACGGGTTTCCTCCTAAACAATTTCTTCAGGTTTTCAGGTCGATGTGCCTGGTATAAGATGGTACAGCCCCTTTGTCCCAACTGGTGTATTTTTTTTTATCACTTTATCACATTTATGTAAAATTTATTTTGTAAATTCAATGACTGCTATATCTTATACCACTCTGTTTTTTATCTCCCTCTGCTATTTCTTCCTAGATCTCCATCTTGATATGGTGTTTTGTGGAGGGAAGAAAAGTTAGGGGGAAAAAAATGTCAGTCTTCCATGTTAGAAATTCTGTTATTGGTTAAGGCACAGATAGGCATCAAATTAAATTGTAGGGACACTCACATCTTACATTGAATTAAGCTTGACTGTGTGACTAAGACTTTTTTTAATGTGTTGTCAAATTTTAAAGATCATTTTAATTTGTCTGGCTATTCTTTCAGAAGCCTTCTCAAGGTCCAAACTACTTTTACTCCATTTGTAATGTCTTAATATAGCTTAACAGTTTATTATATTAGTAATAATATTTTAATATCCAGCAATACTCCATTTTCTATCTGAATAATACAGATGTCTTTGTAAAGACAGGAAATGACAGTGTACCTGAAACCCTGAGAAGTTGGGTTTTTTTCAGTGATGCTCTTTAATTGCAGTCAATGTGCTGTGTGTGCCTTCGCAGCTGATGTGTGCACAGCCTGTCATGCTTCCCTCTTTTCCAGGCATTGACTGCTGGAGTACTCTAT